ATATATATATATATATATATATATATATATATATATATATATATATATATATATATATATTAAAAGTAAAATTGTTCTTCCTGTACGAGTATATATTATATATATAATAAAAAGAAAAAGAAACAGCAGCTATTTTGCCCCGACCAGTTTCATTCTTTTTAAAAAGAAAAAGAAACAGCAGCTATTTTGCCCCGACCGGTTTCATTCTTTCTTCAGGAGAAGAAAGAATGAAACCGGTCAGGGCAAAATAGCTGCTGTTTCTTTTTCTTTTATATATATATATATATATATATATATATATATATATATATATATATATATATATGGGAATGGAATATATATTTCTATAAAAAACGTGTTTGTGTGTATGTGTGTGTGTGCAGGTGCATGCATGTTGTGTTTTTGAGTCTTCAATCACATTAGACAATACAGCACTAGTATATATATCATTTAACTTATACTCATTAGCAAGGCAATTTAGGGGTAAATTTTATGCAGAAAGAATTAAATGATGATATTATTCTTTTATTAAGTATAAGGAGGATGTAGCTTGTTGACAGGTTTTAATTAATTATTTATCTCTACTTGACCTCCTGCTTCAAAAGCAGTGCAGAATTATTATTTGGAGTATACAATGTTATCATTAAATTCTGATTTGGATATTACACCCATTCAGCATTGTTTTATTCATACTATCTTTATCATCAACAAACAGATCACTGAGTGTCAGTCTGTAAATATGTTTTGTCTGAAATTACTCTACTGATTAAAAACCTGAGATACTATTTAACTATACTTCTTATCACTCTGTGGTTTACCGTGTCTCATATGCCATAGCAGTTTACAGTGTAACAGTTCAATTGCAAATTGTCATTCATATCAGTATAGAATGCTAGTCAAAAAAGTGTTTCAAATGGCACTGTATTATGTATTGGGACATTCTGATTCTGAGATTTGTGGTGTTGTCTGATATAACCTGCAGTTTACCATCCTTTATAAGTAAGGGGCTTTTCATATCTACCATTATATATATTAGCAATACAGTTATACTAATATAGTTATGACGGGTTATACCATTTTTTTGAACACGTCCTGCAATAAGCTTTATCCTCCTTTGTACAATTTCTCCATAAGTTAGTTTCCTGCTGATATGTTAATTGGCCCTGTCAAGTGAGTAGGCTTCGTTTAAGTCTCTTTCATATCTAATAGGTAGGCTATTAAGTTGTCAATCTCTAAAAACATCAGTACAGCTGTATCATCAAGATATAATGTTCAAAGGGAAAGAGCCTTGTATTACTACATACACTCTAACAATTCAATTGTAATCCATAGCAATCCAGATTTTTTAAAAATGTGCTTCACATGGCATTATATTTTATAACATAGCATTTTGATTGTGTGTTTTATCTGATATCCCCCGTACAGTTTGGCCTGTAGTTGGTGGTAAATTTAATGGCAAGCACTATTATAGATAAAGCTTTCACTGTCCATGCAAATCTTGATGAGTTGCTATGCTTAAATATCACTGTCATCAGCCAAAGAAGCTGTAAATAGGAGTGACGCGGGGAAAATATTAATCTCTGAACCAAAGCAGTGTAGGTACATATTATCTCTGACCTGTGACATATTTCACATTATTAACCTATATGAATGAACCATTGTCAAAACCCAAAAAACCTCCGCCATGCATGTCAAAATTTTTGACAGCGAGTTATGTTTGCATTAGGCAAACATGGTTGCTACAATGAAACTAATATGCACTCAGATTTCATGTAATTTATCAAGGATGTCAACCATTTAATGTGACATATAGCTTTTTAGTGCTATTGGTATTTTATGCACATCCACGACATTTAAATGCCCTACGAGAGCATATCCCACAATACGAGACCACACAGATATGGTTACAACTTGTTAGCAAGTGGTACAATAAGCATGAAGGACAAATACTCATCTATATAGACTCATTGAAGCACACATATTTTATAGTGTTGCCTTCATTATGCTTCACAGCATAGAAAAGGCAATATATTTCCTCCTCCATAGAAGTGATGGGCGGCCTGTATACATACTGGTCTATAGCACAGACAATCGAAGTTTCACAGTATCAGATTGACTCAAATCACAGACACGTCATGGGATCCGAGATAAGTGTTAAAGCATCGCATATAATGCCTTCGCACCTGAGTCTCGTTAAAGTGACATCGTTAGGGATAGCGTCTTAATCGCTTATCTCATATCATTTATTAAGTTGCCAGTTGATTGTATAGCAAGCATGTATCTGCCGCGTCAACACCTCTTATTTACCGAATAGTATAGCATACCACCTATCCCAAATCTAAGTCTGATAGAGAGGGTGATAATCAATATTTTAAGCTACGCCCTTCAAAAACATGACCTCGACGTTTAAATGCTGTTACAAAAAATAAACAATTGCCACTATAAATAGGTCAACATGCGTCAATGAATAGAGGGAATCCCCTTGGGCTACACAATTTCACTCACCAAATAAAATCTTTGCAATGACTGCAGAATGTCGGCTGCTTAAAAAACCTCGGCACAAAGTTATGATCCTTCACCACAAACACGTTTTTCTGTCTTAGAGCTCCTTTCCTCTGGACGCCTCTGCTCGCAAAATTACTACTACCGCCCGTCTCATCAGCCATGTTGCGAATGAGCAGTAAGGGGCGTGCTTCGCGGAACGATGACCCAATAAATACGAAGGCACCACCGCTTATATTACGAGGTATCCGAAGCGGCTATGATGAGAGGCGAGCGCCCTCGGCTTTAGGCGCAGATAGTGAGGCTGCAATCGATGTCTATATATATAAATACATGGGCTGAGTGAGTTTGCAAATGGAACACGTTATCGCACCAAACGCATTCCATTTTTTGCACATCCGTCTTTTATTTGGAGAATCTCATAATCATTCTCAATAGTACCACGCCTTTTTCTTCACATTAAACTTCTCTAATGTGGATTTTCTGATTTATTTGAAGATATCAGATCAGTTGATAGTTATACTAGTAGTTAATAAGTTATGCGGTCACACATTTAGAAAGAAGCGAAGGGACTGTTTTGGTATTTGTGGCTCACAAAATTATGATATTTGTTATTTTTAGACCGACATTTCCCGCAAAGGTGTTTATTCAAGGAAACTAAATATTGATGAAGGCCTAGACGGGCAAATGTGATGGCATATGTGTAATCTCGGGAGTTTGCATATTTTCCCTGAGTCTTCAGCATTGGTTATTTTTCCAAATACCATATATTTCACTGTGAAACAACTTACACCCCATTTCCATAGATTAGATCGACCTACTTTGGATCGACCTAACTCCCTGGGGGTTCGCGCTGAATAGCTGTCAGCCGGGCGGACACGAAAGTTAATTGCCCTTTACGGCTTGTAGTGGGCGGGGACGGACACTTAAGGGGGATTATCTGACGGTAGTCTGGTGAGACTCCCCGCGGTGATAGATCGATCTAAAGTTGTGGGAATAGACCCTTAAATAAAAATGTTTGCCCTTCTAGACAAATTTGGTCATTTTAAATGAAATATTAATCATTCAAGATATGGCAATAAGAAGGGCATAAGGACTTTTTCGGTGGAGAGGAAATGAAAAAAAAAATGAACGACTTTCCTGTTGTTGATATACCGGGTAGCAAATTAGGTAAGCATAAAGATCATACCAGATTAAACAATTTACTGAAGAGAATGATGGTAATTTACCAAAGGATTTGCTTATTTATGAACTCCAGTGGGCTTTTTATACCCTCTACCAGGGCCGCAGTTATTATTGTGAACATATTTGCTGAGGTATCAGACCAAAATGACCGTCTATTTATCTAGAGACATATCTGTGAATATCTGTGGAAGATCAATCTGTCGCCCTGGTAGAGGGTAGGCTTTTTACAGACAGCCGTACCCGGATTAATTACAAGACGGCTTACTTGAATGTGACCACACGTGCGATTTTTTTTTCCCTGGTGCTGATGCTTAGGCCTATCTTCCAGCATTGCTCTGAATCGGGGTACTTGTAATCGACGTGCAACACTGGGATTTGCAGTTAAATGCCATGTGAATTAATGTGACAACTTAATTACTTTTTTTTTGTGCAAAAAGCAATATACCTAACGAAAAAATTGAAAAGGGATTCACATTAGGCAGTCTTGTGGCTACTTTAAAAAAAAAACCCTGCACTGTTAGTTTTAAAAACTAGCTGAAAACATGTGATTAAACTTCAATTCCCCATTCATTCATAATCGATTTTGTTGTTGAAGAAGATGGGATGCATAATTAAACCCCATTGTAATCGGTTCGTCTGTAAATGAGTTTATTTAGAATTCAAGTTTCCTGGCCTTTCGCGACCCATTGTGTTTGTTGTGACTTAACGCAATCATGTGGCTGAACAAGCGCAATCAGTTACAGAACACATCCAGCGGTTCCAGTGATAGGCCTTCCTCTGGCCGGCTTAATCTGTTAAACTGATTGCATTCAGCAAGAGCCCCGGTGAACTGTAAGTTCGACCTACGTAAACCAATAGTGTCATTGAGAATGAGCCCTTAGACTTCCCATTACTTTCTTGCTTCGCAAGATACAAAGAAGAAAATAAGTATGCCTATCAATAATTAAAACTGCGTATAGCTATTAAACAATTTTATGTTTAATTCGTAAATGCAGTCTGACTGACCAATATTCAATAGGTGAGCTTCTGCCCCTAAAACATTATAACTAGGCCCCACCATCTGATTTTTCAAACAGAAACTTAGATAGCGGACAATGACATGTCATATCTCATATTCCATGGCTAACAGAACAAACTGGCGTACGATAAAAACACTGATTAACTTTGGACTATTGTATAGAAGAGGTTTGGCCTATGTTATTGACGCCTTTCCAGTCTTGCCCTGGTGCCAAATAAAAGCCATATATAAATAAACATAATCATAATAACGGACACGGCAAGCATATAAAGCAAGTCCGACATGATGAAATTCATGCAACCAATTTATTTTTATAACTTGCGGTTTAATTTGATGTTGTGTGGTACCCAGTGTTAATACGTCGCAAGTATTCAAAGTGGTTGACATTTGACTATTGAAAGAAATTTCCAGTTGCACAATAGTGTGCCAAAAAAGAAAAAAACAGGAACACTTATCATGTAGAGATATCTATACAGTGACAATAGGTTCCAAGTATTTGAAGAGCTTAGCACAGACTGTTAAAAAGAAAGCGCCAGTCGCAATAAAATGCGACAATTTTTTTTTTACTTATATTAACATTCATCCAAATCTCATACCCACACAACTCCAATAGTCGCGACTATTAAAAATAATCTCCACGGATCTGCGTCGTCGTTACAAGTGATGACAGAGCACAGATAACCTGCATGTTTGGAGACTTTCCATTGTGACAGGTTAATTACTGGTGTCCGATTTTAAGCAGGGTACGTGACCTTCGTACCAGGCGCAAGGCGGTACGAGCACAACTAAAATAATTTCAAATGCAAATTTAACCTAATAAAGAAAGAAGCTTTGGTTTAGTTAGATAATACCCCTCTACAAGGATCATGTAGTTACATAATGTACCACGCAATTTACTGTGGGTATACTTTCTAATTCTGTGCAGAGAGTAAAAAGATAATTAAATGAAATGATGATTATCAGATAATAATAAATAAATAAAAACCGAAGCAGTATTGTTGTGTGCTGATTTTTTGTGAGATTATGGCAAAATACCAATTTACGGTAAAGGCCACTTTAATTTACGGGAGAGATATGACTGATGATTTATTATAATTGGGGATGGAGGTTGGAACTACTTGGTATAACAGGACAGTATGTCCTTTAATAGAATAAACTTTCATTTTTAAGGACATCAAATTGCTATATTTAGGATATGGGTGGAGCAGGCATTCCAGTCCTAAACCAACGTGACCATTAAAAAAAGAATGAGAGACTTTAGTTCCTATGCAACCAGGATGAATGGGTTTAAATTTAGGAATTCTGCGACAGTTTGTCAAGCAAAATGATTGCATAAAATGTAATGATATATGTACAGAGCTGCAACATGTAACTCCAGCGTTACAAATGCTACGTACATCGATCCCCATTCAATAATATTTATTTATTTATTTATTTATTTATTTATTTATTTATTTATTGGTTGATTGATTGATCTGTCAAAGAAGATTTGGAATAAAACTGTAAGGTTGTATTGTAAGCCTACATTGCAGATGTAAAAGAAACACCATTAGTCCATGTAGCACACCAGCTCCCAGTTGGACAGCACAGGACACGTTTTTAAGAAAACCAGAGGAAAAGAAGACTAGGGAAATTTTGCGTTTTAAGTCTTGCACTTCCCTTGCATATCCCCTCTGCTAATGTTAATACAATCAAAAATACATTTCCAGTGTGGTAATGGATTCCTAATATGGTTAAAAAATGGAAGTATTTCAACTTTCTTAGGTGTTGTGCTAAGAGAGTAAATTGATTGGCAGATTCTGTATACAAGATGACACTGACAGCTGGATTAATAGGGTGGCATAAGTGAAATTTAACTTTGTACTAGGCTGAACCCGAGTTACATGTGGTGCTCGTCTTAAGCACGTTCTGTGTATACACCTTAAACATACGTACACGTCAATTGGGTCCTATAATAACCAAACTGTAAGTAAACAGACAGTTCAGGTGGAAAATCCTGTGTTCAGCGATAAACCGTCAACCGTAAGCTTGAATCGCAACAGTTTATCAATACAAAGGCCTGCAATGGATTAGCGTTGATACCGGCCTATGTTGTACTTGGAAGGGCTGTTAAAGGCGCCACTCTCCTTAAATACCAGCCACAGGTGGGTGTTCGCCGTGACCTAATTTTTCTCTGTGTGCGAATGAATATTAAGATATTACAGCGCCTGCTTTAAGGCTTTGAAGGACAGGGTTGTGTTAACACCTTGTGTTGCGGTTCAGTGCACAAATTAAACAGAGGGTATAGATCGACGCTTCCGATTCGCGCATACGAAATTGCTGAGGGCGGTACCACATCAAAAGTTCTGTAAACAATCTGCGCCATATAAGGAATAATGAGATCGGCCGTTGTATACACTTTAAACCGACCTGCTCTAGTATAAACAGTTCTATTAGGAGAACAGAGGGAGATGACTGGCCCGAAAATCATGTTGATTACTTCACTGGACCTTCGGAATATACACACGGCTATGTAATGGGTGAGTATCCCCAATCGTAATGTCGACATTAAAGGTTAAGTTTATTGCAAGACCTAAAGCATTAAGCCAGGCACAGCCCCGTGGGAAGGTCTGTAACCCGTGCTCTGTAAGCTTATAATGAACCAATTTAAACGACAGTCAGATTTTCTGTTCGTATTCTAGGTATTCCCAAGCAACGAGACTTAATCCGACGTCATAGGAAGCAGCACGGATTGCTCAATTAAACTGCACTCTAGCCAGAAGATATCGATTTATTTCGAGGACCATTATTCTTCTGACTTAAAGAGCTGTGTTGGATACGTTCGTGCGCCATTTTGGAAGGAGGAGAACCGTCACACATGGAGAATGGGGAGCAGTTTCACCAGGCAAACTAGCTCACTTTTAGAAAATTTAGGCCCACAACCCCTCCATATTGTGATGCTGGGCCTAGACGCGGCAGGGAAAACGACAGTCCTCTTCAGGATCAAATTCGATCAGTATTGTAACGCAGTGCCAACAGTGGGGTTTAACTGTGAGAAAGTTAAACTCACCTCAGGGAAAGCAAAAGGAACTAGTTTTGTGATCTGGGATGTCGGGGGTCAGGAAAAATTACGCCCCTTGTGGAAATCATACACAAGGAACACAGATGGTATCGTGTTCGTAGTCGACAGCGTTGACGCTGAGAGGATGGAAGAGGCTAGAATAGAACTGATACGGACTGCTCGAAGCTCGGAAAACAGCGGGGTCCCCGTGCTAGTTATAGCTAACAAACAAGATTTACCTGGGGCAAAGGACCCCAGCGAGATTGAAAAACTCCTGAGTTTGCATGAATTGTCCCCCAATCATCTCTGGCACGTCCAGCCAGCCTGTGCCATCACGGGAGACGGGCTCAGCGAGGCCCTAGAAAAACTTTACGAAATGGTTCAAAAGAAGAAAAAGACTAGTAAATCAACGTTGAAACGACGACGATGACAAGCAGCTTTACAGCTATTTATAGTCATCGTTGTTAACCATAATCATTTGCTTAACCTGAGTCAAGACCTTCATTCAGTTCGTGTATGTCAGTGTCTCTAAGGCGGCCATCTTTAACTACCACCTGCTTGCGAGACCAAATGAATTAATTAGTGATGTCCAAAGATTTCGAAGGAACCAGGCGCCGACATGACATGCGAGCTCCCTGGGAAGATGACTTGACCACGCGATTGCATGACCCTTTTCATCTAGTTTCCATTCTGCTACTTCGTTTGAACCTGGTCACAGGTGGAAATGGATTAAGGAGTGTAGGCTTAACACTGTGTGTTTAAATTTTCTTTGTTTTAAGTCTATTTGAAAACAGTCTGAAAAAAAATCTCTAGGAAGAGCTCGTCACTCGCTGACCGAACGACCTATGATAAGGAGTGTGCGTCTGACACTTGAAATTAGAAGTTAATTGTTTGGAATATGTTCGCAAGAAGTTTCTTTATTAAGTCTTTAGAGACTGCTTGTCAGCCATTGATCAGACGACTTTTATCTTCGGCTGCATCTTGATTAAAACAAACGCCAGACACCCTCTGTCTTTGCCCAAGGGGCCTTTTCGTTTCATACTGCACCGCCAGCATCGATTCGCATATCATTCTTCAAAGGAAGCGCCACAACGATTTTTTCACTTCTCTTTTATCGCCTTTAAACGATTTTTGCTTAATGGCAATATTGTTGAAACGAAGACTTTGAACATTTTCACGTCGCTTTGAAATTAAATGAAAAAATGTGATCGTAACAAAAGAAGCATTATGTAAATACTAAGACAGTTTTACTGTAGTGAACTTTAGAGTCCAGGTCACAAAATCACAATTTAACGAGTGTTCAAAGATCAGAGTGCCAAGTTTCGGATTACTAAGTTATGAGCCAGACAGAAAGAGTCAAATTACATTCCTAGCCGTAAAGTGCCAATATTGACTTGGTCAGGTGTGTTGGGATTATGACTGACCACTCCATATGTGTGTGTGTGTGCATGCACCCTGATGTTCGTAGTCTAAAAACAACACTTGCTCTCAGTAGGCAATCGTTCAGTATGTGTTACACGTCTTCGTGATCGTCTGTCCGCAGGGCGACAGGCACGTAAACATGTTGTAGTCAGTCTGAAAGCTGATATCCACAGTTACAGTTAGCCCTGCTGCATTGCGGCATTGTCGAGATTAGTATTCGATAACTGAGATGTATTACACTATTTGGAGGCACCTTTCTAAATTCCAACTGCACTCATCCTGTACAAAATTACACTGGTAGATTATTTGATGAGGTTATTACTACTGGTGAAAATTGAAATAGGAGATTACGACTGCCCACAAATACATATTGAAACGAGAGCAAGACTAGAGTTACATGTGGAATTGTTTAAGCTAGGGTACCTCGGAGTACCATTTCAACCATTGTGTGCATGTCACCTCCTCTATTGTTTATATATAATATATATCTATATGTTCACCTAGAACGCAGGTGNGAACTTTAGAGTCCAGGTCACAAAATCACAATTTAACGAGTGTTCAAAGATCAGAGTGCCAAGTTTCGGATTACTAAGTTATGAGCCAGACGGAAAGAGTCAAATAACATTCCTAGCCGTAAAGTGCCAATATTGACTTGGTCAGGTGTGTTGGGATTATGACTGACCACTCCATATGTGTGTGTGTGCATGCACCCTGATGTTCGTAGTCTAAAAACAACACTTGCTCTCAGTAGGCAATCGTTCAGTATGCGTTACACGTCTCCTTGATCGTCTGTCCGCAGGGCGACAGGCACGTAAACATGCTGTAGTCAGTCTGAAAGCTGATATCCACAGTTACAGTTAGCCCTGCTGCATTGCGGCATTGTCGAGATTAGCATTCGATAACTGAGATGTATTACACTATTTGGAAGTACCTTTCTAAATTCCAACTGCACTCATCCTGTACAAAATTACACTGGTAGATTATTTGATGAGGTTATTACTACTGGTGGAAATTGAAATAGGAGATTACGACTGCCCACAAATACATATTGAAACGAGAGCAAGGCTAGAGTTACATGTGGAATTGTTTAAGCTAGGGTACCTCGGAGTGCCATTCCAACCATTGTGTGCATGTCACCTTCTCTATTGTTTATATATATAATATATCTATATGTTCACCTAGAGCGCAGGTGATAGTTTACGAAGGGTAACATCTTACACCTCTAGCGGGCCTGGAAGTGTTTGATTATCGCCTCTGATAGTTAGCATTCAAAGTAAATAATTATAATCTTTATTTGAGAGCATACAATTAAGCCTGTGTTCATTCAGTACTTGATAGGATAAGATTAGGACGAGAGGTCTACAAGAGGTCATCTTGTAGTTGGTATAAGGTATAATTTACCCTACGACCTCTGTTGAAGGGGGCACTAGGACCTTCATCAATTTTAGAAGACATGTAGTACTGGACGGATAATAGAAGATCATATGTTAGAAAGTCGTGTTCATTGTAGAGTGGCTTAGAGCTGCGTTGTACTTGTCCTCACAAGATGAATATATGAATATGGATATTAAAGTCTCTTCGTAATGTAGCCTATGTTGTCTTTTGTATACTGTTATTCCCCTCACCCCTTCCCCACGCTCCACTGCCCTGCGGTTTGGTGGGTTAGTGGGATGGGGGTGTAATGGGGTTAAAATCACGTGTATGTCCTTACTTTAAACAAGTACTCCATGTTAAACCAATATTGTGGGGTGCGTGTAGAAGCAAGCATGTGTAAAATTCTTTAGTGGGAGTGACTTAAAGTGGATCGCATTTGATAACTTGGCTTTTTGACACACCCGCTAATCGTTAATTCATCCTCTTTTTAGTGCTTCAGTGAAGTACATTACAGTTTGGTATCGATGTCCCTTTCGAATACATTATTCTTTTCAATTCAAACGTTTTTTTTCTGATGTCAAAATCTGATACCTGGATAACTGTACATTTGGAAATGCTAGGCACTACTAGTCAACATCTGTGTTTTGAAGTCCACGCCAACACCGCGTAATTTACTCTTGGTCTTTTCATATCCAAAAAGTTGAGTGATGAGGATTGAGAGGTTATTCATTGAACACTATTGATTAAGATAGTAAAAACGGGGCATTGTTTACATATTCCAAATCAAGTTGTCATTTTATCATTTAGATCTACAATTATACTGAGACGGATTGGTTGTTTTATTCACATTTGCAATCCTCAGTTGCCTGTGTACGACCCGTCTCAGTCCTAAAATGAATGTAATTGCTGTGACTTACTACGTATTTGCGAGCCAGCGTCGTAAATGCACATCAACCTTTTGAATTATAAAATATATATTGTAATGGAAGATAAATAAAATTGTTTTATAAAAAAAAAATGAAAATAGTGTTGAGCACGATGTTACAAAGAAATAAAAATAAAGTTTAAGTCGGGGAAAATCAACAAATGCTGTAATTATCAGCTGTTTTGTTCGATAATTGAAATGCTGTTTTACGACAGGAATAGCATGTTTGACGTGAGCCATACAACATGCTGTCAAGATTAACATCCATATTGTAATTCCGCCTCTCCATAAGAAACTCCATGTAAAATATGTCTTCATCAATCAGTGGATACGAGTGTTATGGTCTCTTTTGTCATATAAAATGTTCGCCGCAGACAATAGCAGGTCATGTGTCTTTCCTTTATATTAGCATTAAATTGAACGGGCCACCAGGTGGTGGTATTGTTTTAAGTTTAAGTACTTCCTAATATAGTGACTGTGTACATGTGTTTTCCATTGAAATCAATGTGCGACTTGACTTAAAACTAATACAAGATGGTATCTGAAATTTTACCTGCGCTTCACGTTCTTGTAATACCATATGAAAATGCATATTTAATGTGTTCGTCATTGAGAGAGAAAGAAAGAGAAAGGGCTATAAAATAAATATGACAACGTACCATTTCAGTCTGATAAAATCTAGATTTGTTTTTGGAGCGTTCGGAAGTATGGGAACAATTCTTCTCTACGGGGTGATATTGTTATCTTAAACTCGCGAAGGAAGGTGCACAAACATACCAACAATCCCAGTTATCTGGCGTGACAGATTAATTGACAGCTATAAATATAAATACACTGATACAAAGTGACAACTTTACACTCCTTCTGCTCTCTAGAATAAGTGCTTTGGTCATTTAACCAAATACATACAGTACAAAACTTACATGAACAGTATTGGTTTCGTATCTCTCGGCTAAATACAAAAATTTGCATTTAGATCATTGTATTAAAATGTCGTCTTTACATAACTGGACGCAATTTGAATGCAAAGAATTCGAATTCAACAAATGGCACTCGCATGCACATATAGCCCAGCAGAACTGAGAGAGACCTAGACAAAAATTTAGCGTAAAAAAACATTTAACACATTTTTTAGCATCCACAGCTGTTTTCCTGTACCAGTATTTAACCGACCAACATTCAGTCGTACTCCAGAATAAGAAACATTTTGTACATATACTTTTTTCAGACAAGTTAGGTTTCATACATCCCTTTTTTCTTTTAAAGGTGCGTAAAAATGATATTTTTGGAAGGTTTTTGTTAATTTTTAAAGGAAGCAAAACGCCTTAGGAGCCTACGTACAGGTCAGAAAAAAGAAATTAAAATCAACAGGATGAGAGGATACTTTGTAAAGTATTATTTTTATTATTTTATTATTATAAAAAAAAATCAACCAACTTTTCACATAAGACATCCATTCAGCCGAGCTCAAACGTAAGTTCTCGATGTAGCAGAGCACCCGCTCCTAACACAAATAAAAAGACCACAGTGAACCTATAAACATCCACTTAATGAACATAACTTACATTATGATAAGATTTGATAGACGCACGTCAGGATCTTAATAGATTTAAACATTTAGATATACACAAGACAAGGTATCTAAAGTAAGCCGCGGGGTTTTGGCCCACCCAAAACTCATCATTTCATGCACGCGCACCTGTTTCTCTGAGTTAAGCGCCCGAGTTTAAAATAAATACTCTCGAGTTAGGAGAGAGTTGATCTACCTGCTGGTAACACACGGCGCTTGTATCAAGTTTGCTTGTTTCCATGGCAGGCTGGCATTAGTTCTATTTTTACTGGGCCGATAAGTGTATAGGACTAAAGTTTGTTGAATCGTAAAAGATGTACCTGGGATCGAATATTTCTTTTTATCGTTTATATGAGCACAAAAAGTTTAACCTAGTAATTTTACAGTTTTACAATGTATGATTATATATTTTCTAATGTTTTGAATGTACCTGTACACGAGCACTTTCCACACCTTGCATTTTTGAGGTCACTAGACAGCTACCCTTACTATCAGTGTAGAGGCGAGTCTCCAGTAACACCTGAAACGAAGAGTGCAGTTTTCGTGACTTGGGTAGAGGAAAACAAAAAGACCAGCCCCCGACGGACTAGTTCCAACTACTGCAACACCCTAGGGTGCTAGACGACGTGTTAGACACGCAAAGTAAAGATAATAATTTCATTAGAAATAATGAACCAAAAGGGTCATTTGATAAGGGAAAACCAGTAGGAGGCTTGGCAGACTCCAGTGATTCCCAATAGATAATTTGATGATTTTTAGTTCAATCGCTTTGAGACAGAAAGCCACGTTTACTGTCTCTACAAATGACCAACGATAATGATGTTGGGATATATTGCTCGCCATTCATTTTGTGATCAGTGAGACGCCAAACAATTTTTGTTATCGTGAAAAACATTTTGATGCAGTAGACGTTGAATTAATCAGCCTAAAGAAAGAAAAACTCATGAGATAAAAACGAAAAAAAATTGATTGAAAACGAATATACAAAAGTTCAGTAATCTAATCGCCTGTGCTATTGATTTATACCTCGACGCAGCCAGCGATTTCATTTGGCTGTATATGATCTACACAAGGGCACAGCATTCGTATTGATTCTCACACTTTTCGAGGCAAAAAAAAAAAAAAAAAAAAAAAACAGGCCCTTGCTATAGCCGTGTTGAAGCAGATGAAAAATTTCCCCATTTTTTTTATAAGAGTACCTTTCCTCTCTTCCCAGAAAGATGTATATTTTCCTTCACTCTTCAATCTCTGATTACTTTTCCTAAATCACATCGATGTTTATACACATCCAAACTGAAACCTGTACTTTGGTTAGTTATGTTCTACACAAAAATACTTAAGAATGAAATTATTAAATAAGATATTATATTACTATTTGAGAACGAAAGCAAAATAATGTTACGTTATTTTGCATAAGTAGAACTTCAGAATCGATTCGGAAGTGTTTAGACAAAAATGAACACGTGCACTCGTATTATTATCGTTAATGTGTTCACTCTTTCTTGCAATCTATATAAAGCATTCTTTTCGTTGAAAGCGCTGCCTAAGTATTGCTCACTTTCAAAATAGTCGATTCTGACTCATGCACAAGCTAAATAATTCAAAAGAAACAAAATATCCTTGCTGGACGCGGCGCACATTTGCTAGCCAAGTAGAACCAGAGTTAATTTGCTATTGAAGTCGTTTACTCATGGTGTATCATACGTGATATTTTAATTAGTGGTTCTCATAATAAGATTTGTATTTTTAATGCAGAGTTTTATGTGCTTTGACACACTAGAGTGAATTAACTCTAATTACTCGGAAAATACCCAGGTGAATATAATAATCAAGGAAATGTCTTCAATCAATATATTAGTCAAAGTTTAATGTGTTTCTGCTGAAATGCTCTTAAATATTTACGAGAGTGTCTGAATATGTTTACGCAAGTTAAAAAGGCACATCTATGTTGATTATTATCAATACGCCTTAGAGCGCATTCAGAACGGCAGCGGACTAACAGATCCGCGGATCATATATGGCGAACCACTAAAAAGCTAGCTGCTTAATTCCCGATTAGACACTGAATAGATTCCCCGCTGGAATTACGCAACAAAGTGGGTTCAAGTGGGTCGGCCATATCTGAGACGCGGATCCGTTATTCCGCTGTTGCGAATGCGCTCTTAGTGAGAACGTCCCAAACCGCCAAACATAAAAAAGGCGCAGTTGAGCCAACAACTCTTCCGTGCCTAAATTTTTCAAAAAATGAAATGCCAAAAAGTAAAATAATGATAACAATAAAATGGAGACAGAAAGAGAGAAAAGTGTTTAAAAGCAATATAATTTTGATTGGAAGAAGGAAGTTTTCACTATATCGACTGATATATAGATAAACTCTTGCCGCTGTCAGTTATCCCTAGCTTCAAAGCACTGACTAATATTCTTTTTGGAACAGGACCCAGTAGCCCCAGAGTCTGAACTCAAGGTGAAGACCAGAGAATATATCCAGCTCTCTTACAGACGTGCAAACACGTGCAGACGACGTGCAAATACTTAAAACTGTGAGGAGTATTCTGGGAGTTGTAATCCGAGCGTAATTGCACAAATGAAAATGAATAATGGAACAGCCATTTCCTCATTTCCGATGTCCATTTTGAACTTACTCCAGCATCATGTGCAGAACAAATTGAATTTTTTTATAGAAAAATTGTGATTACAGGAAATTGTTCAAATATGCCTAACAGGGTGTATTCAAAGGGATCCTTTTTAAAGTATTACTCACATCCACCCACACAGTTTATTTTTGTAATTTTTGAGAGTTGGGCATAAGTGTAAAAACATTAAAGTTCTACTGAAACGAAATTCCACATGCTAACCGACAGCCGTCACAGTGTGCTCTCTCTGTGAATCCGTTTCTATTCGTACGTTATTCCCAGTGACATGCGCTTACAGAGGCACTAACATAGAATTTTTTGGGTGGTGCTTGATACTACGCAATACTTCAGATTACCGATTCGTTTTCATAATATCTACGCATATATCTGATCAGTGACTCAATTATTAGTTTCCAATAATGACTAAGAAGTCTAAAACCCATCTTATGTTATGTTAAAGCTATAACGGTCCCCAAGAGATCCGTTCAGACGGGACCTGCCTTAGACCTAAATTCTTGCTTATACGCGTCAGCACGCAGCCTGATTCACAATGACAAAAATGTGCAGCAAAAAAAAAAAAAAAAAAAAATCATTTGAACCCTCTTTCCTTAAACAGACTTTGGAATTTCAAAACGGGAAAATTTGTGCAAGTTAGTCATACATTTGGTCTGGAGCGCTGTTTGTCTGAACTGCCCCAAGATCAGTCTGCCCTTATTGGATTTGGAGATCATTATTGTTCTCCAATCCCACTTCATCCCTTTGTGTAATTACTCGCGGGAAGACAATTTAAACAGCATTATCGCTAACTCAGAGGTGTCACTGTTAAGCCGTAGTGTAATGGGTTTTCTGCCCCGGGGAAATAAAAAAAGAGTGAAAAAGGGTCCACGAAACATGATGCTTTTTCCCCAGCAGATCGTTAGAAGAAATGATTAGTTGTATCTCGACATTGGTGAGTGCTATCACTGTATCTAATGAAAAGCCATTAGATATCCACACCTAAATAATACCTACATAATAAATATCAGATGTCTCAAATTTCAACTGTTATTTATTACATTAACTTCATAATTAAAAAAATATTGTAAAAACAGATAAATAATAAATATCAGATGTCGCAAATTTCAACTGTTATTTATTACATTAACTTCATAATTAAAAAAAATATATTGTAAAAACAGATTTTTGGAGCGACATGGACATATTGAAAGTTTGAAAAGAGGTGAAAATTCACCATCTAGAGTTACCGTATTTTCTCACAATTAATTCTCTTCGTTTATTGAATCCATTACATGCTAAAAGCGCCTTTTCAAGTAAGGAAGTGACCCTTCAAGCGTGATTTACGTTTGATACTTGGAGGGCATCCCGGACGAGCTGCGGGATCAAACGATCAATAGAGACAGACAGAAATGTGCCAATCAATACCAGACTTCTGCGGAAAGACTGACAAAAATTACCAGAGTTAAGAGCCTGGAACTATTCACTGCATGTGACAAAATAAATAAACGTGCGGCACGCGGGGTCTCGAGGAAGGAGTTTCAGAGATCATTGGAAACCCAACTCTATTTACCTCTACCTTGACACTCAGGGTGGTTCAAATTAAACAGTCGTTTGGATATTCACTTTTCATATTCCCATGACTTGTGCTAATTCTGAAGCGCCAATGTGTATATATAGTTGGTAGCCACGATGGAGAATGGTGCATAACTAGACAGTAGACAATATAGGGGTTTACTTACTAATAAATACGTTTAGTCAATTTTCGTGTCATTTACGCATATACTCAAGCACCCTATTTAAATTTCTCCTGTGGAAACGATTTATCTCACATAATTCATAACCACCCAACTGAAACCACTACGTAAATAACATGAATGAAACATCTTCTATTGGAGATTTACGCTGAAGAAGATACAAGCGGGTGTCTTGTACCTTAATAATAATCTGTGTGGAAAGCGACGGCCCGCGGAAAGGTTATCGTAGCTAATAACTCATGCGAGTGAAAAGACCATAGAAAATGATAGTCTCGCTTCCTTCCTTGGCAGCGCCCACGGCAAATTTCATAGAATAAACTGCCCGTAAACATCACCATTGTGGAGCAGAACTTCCCAATTTCCACCTCACTTTCAAGATGTCATGAATTAAACAACCTATCTCCAGATTTCAGGACTTTTTCTAACCTTTCCACTAGATATGTTTTTTCTTATTTACATCTGTCATAAACAGGAAACATACCTACCAAGAAAAAAATCATTTTAATAATAACGAGACGACTCAATTTATATTAACAAACTGTCATAAATATATAACCGTCTTTCTTGTGAAATTTATTGTATCTATATATTATACCAATAAATAGAACAATATTTGATAAAAATCAGTCCAAGCATTCAAAAACACTGTTACAGACCAAATTATGACAAGAAATCTGTTGTAAATAAGACCAATGTAAGATTATTTTGGCAAAATACTTATATCAATCATAAATGCCAATGGCGTAATTTGTTGCACTTTTGTAAAAATACGTTTTGTCCTGCATAATATAACTGTTGGATAATAATAACGATAATAATTTAAAGTGTTTTATAACAGATAACACTGTTGTTTAAAAATCATCGATGTTTGCTTTTTTTCTTCTTTTTCTTTTTTGATTTAACTTCCGTTTCTGTTTCTGGACATTCCATCTCAGTTTCAACTAAGGCATCAATGCCATCCTTACATTTCTTGGATTTCTTCTTCTTTTTCTTGGACTCTTTCTCAGCATTCACCTGTGTGTTTAATTCACAGTCTGTAAGTTTTGTGTCAATATCTGCGACAGCAGAGACATCAATTGTGTTCTCCTCTAATGCAATCTCTGGACTGTCAATGTTCTCTTCTTTCTCTTTCTTCTTTTTAGATTTCTTACTACTAGAGCTGTCATTTTGGTTTTCAATTTCATCTGTCACTTCGTGAACATTTGTTTCTGACAATTTTCTCTTTTTTGCTTTCTTTGATGATTTTTTTTGACTGTTATCCCCTGCAGTTTTATCCAGTGCTTCAGTTTCACTTTGAAGCATTGTCTCTTCTTTATTTTTCTTGGCTTTCTTTTTAGTCTTTTTCTCACATTTTTCTTCCCTTGCTACAGAGTCATCTGATGTGGGCAAGTCACTTTCTTGTCTTTGAATCCTTAAAAGCTTCCCATTAAGCTTAAACCCATGTCGTGCAGCTCTTTAAACAAAGATGAAAAAATATTCAATGAATATCTATATTAAAACATATAAAGGCATTGAAATACAATTATTATAATTATGGTTTCTAGATATACTTAAGTAAATGTTATAATTTATCAATTCTGAGTAAAAAAAAAAAAAAACAATAATAAATTAATCAATCTTCTTGTTGCTCTAATTTTGTTTCAAGCTTCCTGACTCTATATAAGCCCAGACCACTAGAATTAATATTTTTAAATATTATTTTCATTCAATTTTAAATTCCAAATGCACATTAAAATGCATCGGTTAACCAGGCATTTTCCTCTTTATTAAAAGTTAATTAGGTCACAAAGGACGTTCAGTCGGTGGATCAAGTTTCCTCATGCTACCACTAGGTGGCAGTCTGAAACTGTACCTCATCATAATCCTTGACCTATACCTCATTAAAGTTGAGAAATTATAAAAATCTTAAATCTAAAATCTTACATCACACCACCAAAAACCACAAAAAATGCAAACAGTATACATAAATGTTATCTGACGAGATGTATTACTTACTTGTGAGCTGTCAGACCTCCACATTTCTTAAAAAGCTCTTCGTCGCTTAACCTTAAATAATAAAAGATGCCATTTAAACTTTGTATGTATTATCCTGAAATCATTTTTCTTGACAACTGCCACTTTACGTAGACTTCAAAATATTAAGCTATTCAGACGGTGGATCAAAAGAATATCGTCATATTGACCTGTTGTCAAAATCTGATATTCTGAACATCATCATTATATCTTAATAATAATAATAATAATTTCACAAAATAACTTATTACAGTTACAAATACAGTAATATATAACCTAAGATCATTTCATAATACTAATTAATTTTGGTATTCACTTACTCCTTACATAACATCTTAATGAGATTATAACCATGAAATTAAACAAAACTGAGTCCCTTCTTTACTAATTTTGAACATAAATATCAATATCTAGGTTTACTATATCCTACCCATTATTTATGTAGCCTTACATTAGGTCCTAGTTTCACAAATAACCTTTAAACCAAAACTTGGTCTGTACATAAAAACAAAACAATCTTATTTTGAGCCAAGATGAAAGAAATGGCCCAGGTTTAATATAAACAGTAACTTGGTCTAGTGAACTACTATGGATTTATTCAAACCTGGAGTTAGCTAGAATTGTGGTCAGTATGTGATTTTGTGAAACGAGGCACAGACTGTGAAAAAATTAATTACTGTGAAACTGAAGCAGGTTCCTCTTCTTCCTCCGAGTCACTGCTGTCCCCATGTTTCACCTCTTGGGACACACCGTCCTCGTTATTTTCCAGTGTTGCCCCCTAGAACAATTTGTCACAACTGAATATGTGAAGAATATTACGCATCCAGTTGTGTAATGAAATAATACGCAATGAAAAGAATCTCTTTCTGGGCTTAACATGTTATCATAGTTATGGAAAATGTCTACAGGTACTGATAGTCTGGACTTGGACTTAGCACTTCTGTGTATATATGGCCATTACTCATGAAGAACCATTATGACATACACAGTATGGAATATCTTTGATTTTTTAAAGCGTTCTCATGTCGCATTTCAATAAAGATTAGAAAATAAATTTTCAAATCAAGTTTACCTGTTCAATCAATAAATAAAGACATTGAGAATTATATTGGACTAAAAAAATACAAAGTTTTATAATCAGTTTGAATTTTGCCCTTCTTTAATTTTGTAAATTAATCACATTTCATTTTATTATGCATGTATTGTATGCTTACCTTTACAAACCTTCCATAAAGCATATCTTTATTAAACATGGTCTTTCCATTCTTCTGATTACTTTCGTCTTTGCTTACATCAACCCCTTCCTGTGAATGAAAATTTTACTCTTTTATTTGACAGAAAATTCATTTATAATGAAACCATTCAAATAATATATTCTCCTACTTTATAACCTTTTACTGGGACTGTCATACTAAGAAACATGTCAATTCTCTTTGAAGTCACAAAGTAAACATGTTTAGCAAAATTTAATTCTTCATTTCACTTCTTAAAATAAATAAGTTACAATCCAATCATCTGAAACGTCCTATTATCCTATGTCCTAAAGTAAGACCTTTGTCAGTTTTGTATTAGAATGCACACATAGAAACATGGCAGTATTCCATTGAAGTAATAAAGTTAAGAAAAAGTTCAGCAAAATATAAATTGTTACATTGTCTGTCAATAGATCAACATCATCTTCATCATCATCATAATGACAATGATGCACTTGGTGTACATAATACCTCAACTAGACGTCTAATAACCTAAACAAATAGTACCTACCTCTGTTACCTTGACATTGATATTGCCAGCAGCCTTGTTGAATGCATGGTCCCACCAGTGTAAGGTGAACTCCTTGCCTGGATCATGGCCAACCTGATCAGAAAAATAAAAATATAATAATTAAAACAAGACATCAAGACTGGAAGACATGCAGATATCAAACAAATATATTATAATATTTTCCCTGGACAAAGAGTAGATAGCATTTGAACAGTAGTAAATACCTTGAAGTTTTTTCTACCATGACACCACCTGGCGAGTGCCTAATGTACACCATGACACTGGTTCTGAATTCCCTAATCTGTACAATGACACTAGCTGATAAGTCTTGTCTGCACCATGACTCTAGCAAAACCAGAAAGGAAACCTACCCCTGCTGTATCATTTTTTATCTTCACCTTAATGGCTTCCTTCATGCCATGTTCATTTCATCCCAGTCCCTGGCCTGGAATTAGTAATGGATATAAATATAGAGTAGACAAAACAACTTCATGAAGGGACTGTAGGTGGCAATTGCAGATGGTGCTGGTAGCTTGTTTTCTCAAACAACCATAAAAAGTGTTCTGAGAGTGTCAGCTTGATACCCATTTTGCATTGCATATCCCTTTCAATGCACCCCATCTGCAACTGACCTCCACTGACATGACAAAAAACTGTCGGTACTATCATGTGGACATTTTGACAATCTAGGAATGGTCAACAATGAATTTTTTTAAAAGGAAAAACTAGCAGTGCTGTCACTTTAAACTGATTTTTTAAAAAATCAACTAAGGGTGGCAATATATGGCATGTACAAGAACAAGGACTTGAGGGAGGGGGGGGGCTAACTGAGTGATTAATTTGGTTTATCTGTAGGCATGTGGACTTAATTTGTCCTATAAGAAACTGGTAGTAATGGTTTTAAATCCTGGGACCTATTCTGGACAAGAATTGACTTTTTCTAGTCTTGAGGGATGCTGTATAATTGCGAGATTTGGCACACACCGTTTATGATCACACACTGGCAGTCATTTCACATTTTGATAAGAGCGTCTCACAACGATGTTAAGTTGTAACTTTGGGGACTTAACACCACTCAATTTTACTCATTACACTAATTTACAGTAATTCTAATCTCTTATCATTAAAATCCTAAAATTTCAAAACAGCGGTATCGAACACTACGTCATAAAGGTAAACAAGGAAATTATGTGCATAAATCTTAAATTTTCGCTGATTTATCATACAGAATCGAAACAAATGGTGTAAAGATTCGAAACACAAGGTGTTCTGAGGCCAAGTGGGTAAGGCCGAAAACTGAGGCAAGAAGACAAGCACATGACGACGAGAGGCTGTGCTCGAATACGTAACAAATTTAAACTAAACCACACAGAAAACCCACCTTCTTGCCATCCATACTTATTAAGATGTTGTTCTGCAAAGGACCCTTTAAAGAATTTCTTTTTAGTATACATTTTGGACGAGCTTCGATGGGCAAACTTTACACACCAGTCTCCGTGGTGTGACCGCGTGTTCCGGAAGTGCCTGCTACTTGTTTCCGCACTAAAAATATCTCAAACTAAAAACAATGATTCTTTTTGTATTTCCAATTAGTTCTAACATTATACATCAAGAAAGGTATAGAATTTATGAGTCTATGGCTATGGATTTATATAAATATTTTTTATACTTCTCTCCGGCAAATTGCCCATTTACTCCGTATCACCATTGTTTATTTCCTGGTGTCAGGTGGGTTTTACATTGGCTGTGATTTGCATGCAAGCGCCTGTGCAGAGGCTGTGGAGTGGGGAAGGTAAATAATTTTTTCTCAAAATGAATGACCCATGCAGATGTAATGCACTGAATATTTTGCCGATTAACGTCATTGCGATATTTATTTCGTGTTGTTTGTTTACTATCGCTTTTCAAACTCGCGTATGACTGAAATTCAAGTTAAAATGTGATCGTAATATTGATAGCACGATTACAATACTGGCATTGTGATAATTGTATTTTTTGTATTCTTTCGTTACCGTGCAATGGTTGTAGCTTTGGCTAAGCATACCTGAATTGAATCATAAACAGAGCATAATTAAAGTACAAGAAAACATGCACTGGTATAGTGACCAGTACATTTATCAGATTTATATCAGAAGAGGTTAAAAATGGAGTTATTGGATTTTGTTTAGTTAGCTTTTTCTTGTTTGTTTATAATGAGGAAGTATTATTGTACCAGTTCTGGCACATGTACTGTACCTGATGGGTAGCAAATATTAAAGGGATAATAACTCTTCTTATGAGACNGTATTTTAATTTTCTGATCAGTTTGAAAATTTTTCTGATATACCTACACATGACGACGAGAGGCTGTGCTCGAATACGTAACAAATTTAAACTAAACCACACAGAAAACCCACCTTCTTGCCATCCATACTTATTAAGATGTTGTTCTGCAAAGGACCCTTTAAAGAATTTCTTTTTAGTATACATTTTGGACGAGCTTCGATGGGCAAACTTTACACACCAGTCTCCGTGGTGTGACCGCGTGTTCCGGAAGTGCCTGCTACTTGTTTCCGCACTAAAAATATCTCAAACTAAAAAATGATTCTTTTTGTATTTCCAATTAGTTCTAACATTATACATCAAGAAAGGTATAGAATTTATGAGTCTATGGCTATGGATTTATATAAATATTTTTTATACTTCTCTCCGGCAAATTGCCCATTTACTCCGTATCACCATTGTTTATTTCCTGGTGTCAGGTGGGTTTTACATTGGCTGTGATTTGCATGCAAGCGCCTGTGCAGAGGCTGTGGAGTGGGGAAGGTAAATAATTTTTTCTCTAAATGAATGACCCATGCAGATGTAATGCACTGAATATTTTGCCGATTAACGTCATTGCGATATTTATTTCGTGTTGTTTGTTTACTATCGCTTTTCAAACTCGCGTATGACTGAAATTCAAGTTAAAATGTGATCGTAATATTGATAGCACGATTACAATACTGGCATTGTGATAATTGTATCTTTTGTATTCTTTCGTTACCGTGCAATGGTTGTAGCTTTGGCTAAGCATACCTGAATTGAATCATAAACAGAGCATAATTAAAGTACAAGAAAACATGCACTGGTATAGTGACCAGTACATTTATCAGATTTATATCAGAAGAGGTTAAAAATGGAGTTATTGGATTTTGTTTAGTTAGATTTTTCTTGTTTGTTTATAATGAGGAAGTATTATTGTACCAGTTCTGGCACATGTACTGTACCTGATGGGTAGCAAATATTAAGAAACTTGCAGCAGTGATAGTAGAAAGTTTACAAAAAATTACTAGTAATAATTTAGTACATGTACTGTTGACTCTATAGCACAATACTGGTACTTCAATTAGTCCTCATGTTGCATATTTACAGAGACAGATTGTAAGCTATTATGATAAGGAGAAAAATACACATACTTAAAAATGTGCTATTGATATCAGGATTGATTTATGGGAGGATCTTGCAGAGTCAATTAAGCAAGAGATATTGTAATGATAAATGGATTTTTCTATCTCGAAAAACCTCATCTAAGTCACTAAATGCCGAAAACTTTTGGGATTAGGGCAGTGTGTGACTCATCAAGGAAAAAAGTAAGAGCGAAAATAGAGCAGTAACAAGAGAAACTGAGGGCCATTCAAAAAAAATCTTAATATGGATCTTTCAAATCCGAACACATGCGTACACAAATGCTCATGTGTGCATGCACCTGCACACACACACACACACACACACACACATACACACACATTGTTAACTTATAGGAATGCTATGGATCACTATGTAGCATACAGTAGGTCCAGTGCTAGATTTATCTTTTTTTTTTCTTTTTTTTTTTTTTTTTTTTTGTGATATCCCACTACCAGATAAATCAGAATATTCAGTCTCTCATACATATTGATCACAATGAGTCAGGTGGGTGGGGTGGGGTGGGGGAGGGAGAAGAGGAGAGAAAGAGAAAGAGAGAGAGAGAGAAAGAGACAGCTGCAAAGAAAACTTTAAACCAGATCTCAAACTACATGTATGTGCTAGTTTCCTCTTGGCATTTCATAAGTGACTTGTCTGAGTCACATGTACCCTATTGTCCTCAACATATTAAATTTTATAAAATGCTGGGTTTCAGGGTGCTCAAGGGTAGATCTTAGTGACAAGCAGATCTTTTTTATCTGGAGGCAGCACTTAGTCCTGAAGTGGAAAAGTTACAAGCTGTTTATAGAGGTCTTTGCTTGCAAATGTATTAAAAATCACCATAGTTCATGAGATTGGGAAAAAAGTGTTTTTAGGGTGTATTCATCAGTTTGCCAGCATTGACCTACTACTACTAGGCTTCCATATTATACTGTTAATGCAAACACCAGATTGGCCTTCAAGGCTGTTTAAGAATACTGCATTTTTTCTATATTTCTAGATACTTCTTAATACTGTCCTACCCTTTTATTTTTTTTATAAGAATAGGCAATTATATATAGACCTAAATAGGGTATGGCAATCCTTTAGGGCATTAATACAGTAGAAGCTGTTTGAATAAATACGATTGGAAGATTTAAATTGCCAAAAAATATAGATGTGAAATGTTTGAGGTAGTTGGGTTGTCTGTTAAATGGGATGAAACATAATTTGCACATATGATGGTTTTAAAGAATCTGGACAAATATGTATATGCACATGTTGTTTAGTTTCAGAGAATGAGGTGAAAGGCATTGAAATTAAACGGACAATATGGCAGGCAAAGAGTTTGATGTGAAATACAAAGTTCTTCTCATAGGTGAGTCAAAGCAATACCATTTCAATAATGTAACATATTCTGAGCCCTCAGTTGGCAAATAATTGCCTTGCGGTGTTTGGTATTCCCTATTCAGTTTGAGTATTGAAACTGATTTACTGGAATTTTCCAGTTGTGAAGTTGCATTTGGATGGTAATTCAAATAGCATGTTATATAATATAGAAATTAGCATCCAGATTGTTTTGGAACATTTCAGTTTATTTTTCATCCAGTATAGGCAATAGTCAGTGATACCTTTTTTGAAGCATGCTGGTTGATAGATTAAAATTGAACGATTCTTAGTTTTATTGAAGTGATAATAAGAAAAAATTGAAATGGTCCCTAGACTTATAGCCAGGGTTGTCAGACTTTGAACACAAGTCAGATTACCCAGTATATGAACAGAATTTGGATAAACATGTAAAAATGCTTTGCATTTAAACATTTGGAGGAAAAAAAGCATAGAAAGTGAAAATGACAGTTGAGCAGTCAGTAATTCAAGCCAGATACTTTGATAATGCAGTATGCATATCCCTGAGCAATCTTTATCAGGTAGAATTTCATGAAGGGCATAAATGTCAGACATGCAAGAATCTTCCTTAAGAAACTTTGTGTTTAAAATCATTATTTTTTGGGCTGTGACCCCTGTCAACAATAGCTATTGGCCATTTTAAAATAAATGCATGCTTTGACAAACAGTTCTTGTGTTTGCAGATATTGTCATTTAAAAGAAAGGCTTCACTTTTTGAACAATCAGGTCATCAAAAACAACCCTACAGTATTGGTGCCAATCTCAAGAAAATGTTACAACTTGAATACAATCTATTTCAGGAAATTCTGGAGTTGGCAAAACCGCTTTAATTCGTGCTTTGACCCAAGAAGAGTTCAGTATGGAAATGCTGCCCACTATTGGTAAGATAATTGCAATACCTCATGTTGCATATACTTCGTAAAATTTATGAAGCAATGGTATGCCTGTGTGACATTGTAAAAATTCTTTACATGGTCTGTTGAAGTTCTTTTTTTTTTTTAAAGAAATTCCATGTTCATTTAAATTTTTTTTTTGTTATATATTATTGAATCCTAATAGCTTTCTTTTTAAAATTTGCTGCACAATATGACATGAATTCCGATCACTTGAAAGCTGTTGAGATAATGATGTTTGCTTAGGTTGACCTCAGAATTCTTTATCAATGGGTGTGCCTGTTTGTTCTTAAAGGAGGCCTCTGCATATACACTGTCATAAGTTTTCACCAGCTTTTTTTAAACCTTTATTGGATTGCTGACGCTAGGCATTTTCGCATATTCTAAGCATTTTATTAACAATACCCATTGCTTTGTTATATACTTGTTTAACAATAGGGCTGTACATTTTGAACTTTAATGTTGGTGATTTTGCATTTTTTTATAAGAAAAACAAAGGGCATTTTTATTTTTCTACAATAGCAAAGACATTTTAGAAAAAACTGACTAACCAGTTTAATATTCTAAAAAATAATTTCAGGGATTGATTTTGTGAAGAAAATTTTCCATGTAGATGGTGCTAATGTTCAATTAGAAATATGGTGAGTTTCTTACTTAGTTAAGTGACTTGCATGTTGTCTTTAAGATCAGAATGAAGTACTAAGTTGATCTTCAAGTGATGATACAACAGAACAGGATTATCACATATAGTTGATATGATATAATTTTAATTAAATTTAATCAGTTTATTTCCCCTCACCCATGCTCATGGCACAGAGAATAGCAAAAAAATATATAGATTTATGTATAAGCATTACCAATTAATTCTACTCATTTATGCACAGTACCACTAGCGGTATTACTCTACAGTTTCAGCAATGATAATTCTATAGACTAATCAGTCTACAAACGTTCTTTAGTCTAAATACTCCTTAAAGTTTCCATATATTTAAATGTTTACAATGCATTTTATCCAAGCCTGCATGGCATTCTTTGGTGAATTTTGGACACTTCAATAAGTAATTAAAAAATAACCCGTTTGTTCACTTTAGGGACACTGCAGGCCAGGAAAGATTCAGAACTATCACTAAGTTTCAGTATAGGGGAACAAAGGTAAAATTGTCACAGAATTAAGCAGTACTTTTGAAAATTAAAAAAAAATTAATTATTAACGATAATTTAATTTGATGGTCATATTTCTCAAGTTTAATCATGATTAAGGAAAATAAGTAAAGAAAAAATGCAAGAATTTTGCAATTAAATAAATATTTTTTTTTTTGAATGATATCATTCTGATATAAATTTTCAGGGTATCTTGTTAGTATATGATGTCACTGATGTCAGCAGTTTTAACAATTTAACTTATTGGTTGCAAAGTATAGATGAGGTAAGTCCTACCTTTAGCTCCCCCCTCACCCCACCCTCATTCAAATGTGTTCACACAAAAATACTCACTTGAGAAACTTTGAAAAAGTAGCCAAGCGTATTTCTGAACACCGTTAATAGCTTAGTTGATGTGGTCAGCAAGTGTTGCTAGTGGCTTAAAGGGGAGACTATGGTGATATATGTCTTCCTTGAGTAAATAGTAAAAGGCATTAAGGGTTATAAATGTGGGCTGGCTCAATGATCTCAATGTCTCTCTGGACTTACTTCAGGATATAACTTTTTTTTTTTGCAAAATAGCTGGATGAACATAGCCTAATCAAAATATGAAACTGAAGCAATGATAATTTTTACTACAGAGAGTGAAATATTTAACATTTTCCTCAACAAAATTAGACTGTTAAGCATATGGCTTAAATTAGCCATGCCAGAATAAACCCAGCCATATTACCTATTTAGTGATTAATATTGTGTGCATTGTATTCAAGGGATAATATATCTTAATATGTGACATTTATGTTGTTTTGTGTTTTAGGAGATAAGACCAGATCATCCCACTGAGTCCATTCCAGTGTACATTATTGGTAATAAATGTGATTTAGAACAGCAAAGACAAATTAGTAAGAGAGATGGAAAAAAGGTATAACTGTATGCTTCTTTTTTATTATGAATGTTATGCTTGTTGAGTCATGGACATTGCAAAATGCACTGGTGTGGTCCAACATTAAATAAATAATGATAATGACAGTGATTATATAGGCATATGTATTTTCTTTCTACAAGCACTTGTTTTCATGAGTAAGATCTTAAAAGGATTTTGATTTTTTTTTTCAAAATTGGTAAAATTATTACATTACTTTTGTTTGAACAATTAAAATCATTCATAATAACCATTGGTTTTTTTAAAAAATTAATTAGCGTTTTGCTAAGGTGTTGCATTATTATTATTATTATTATTATTTCTAGAAAGCCCAAGAAACTCTGGTCAGAGGATTTATGGAGACAAGTGCCAAAAATAACATAAACATACAAGAGGCCTTCTATGAACTCGCACATGCCTTGTTGGACACCTATAATCCTAAATTAGTAAGCATATACTTAAAATGGTTAAAAAGATTTGTAAGTAAAGTTTTCTTGATGATTTAATTTTGGTGAATATGAGCATGAAATTGTTATTCACTTGCTTAGTGGTATTCTGACTTGTATTTTTTGTGCAGGTAGATGCCAGTTTGTGTATAACTCGTTCTTTACTCATCCGTTTTGTTTTTATTTTCTTCAGATGACAAGCTACTTGAATCCAGTGGATCGCAAAGAGAAGAAAGGATCAAAACAAAGAATTTCACAATTGACATCAAGTTCTTCTGAATATGATCAAACGTCATCACGTAGCAAAAAAATCAAACTCAAGAAAAAAGACAAACCTCGTTCTTCTTGCTGCCATCGTTCATAAGATCATTATATCTAGTCACATACATATTTGGTTCAAATGTGTACATTATTGGGCATGAAGTTATTCTGGCATAGTTCAGGATATTCTGTTCCTCTTGAGGAATTTGATATTCACTGCACAGCCATACAGCTGATTTCAAGGTTTTTAGTGAGGGTTTTTATAATGCCATATACTTTCCATGAGTATCAAGAAGGCTTGTGGTGCATTAACTGCTGATAGTGTCATTGGCATTGCTTCATGTTTCAAAAGCCATACCATGGATTAAGCCATTTTTAACACAACGGCTAAATGTTATTTTTGATAAGGTGGAGAGTTATTCAGATTTTTGGATAAGACTTTACATGTTGAAAGTACAACATATATGACCACTGAATTATCAAGAATATTTAATCTGATGATATTATTATAACTAGTCTTATTCATTTATAATCTTTTTCCAGAATGCTATTTAGTAAAAAGCATTAGTTTAGGCACCCAAGACAGACTTCCAGCATGGAATAAAGGGTATATATCAGATCTGGTCATTTAAATTAATGTCTTTACTCTTATTATTACTGTACCTCAGTTTATTCATTCTACAATTAATTTGGTGCCCAAAGTGTGTAAAGACAAATGTGTAAATGATAATTTTTACAATTCAAAGGTCACATATATTTATTGATTTTTACCAAATTATTTTGGCAAATAATTTTTGCATTTTCTGTTCCATTTTTAAATTCAGGGAGAGGGAGACATTTTCCAGTTTTATGTATGAAAAGGCACTGCAGAATAATCTGAGTTAGTTTAAATTTTGGTAGGGTACATGTTATATATATGGTATTGAAGATGCTAATTCTACAATGTTTTAACTGTGCATATTGTGGGTTGTGATTGTCATTACTATAATCTTTAATCAAGATATTGAAAATATATTCATAATGTGCTGTCTCATTGCTGAAACAAATAGACCAACAGGTGCTACTGACAACGAAGTGCAATCAGTGTAGTATTACAGAGAGGGACCACTGCTAATTATTACTTATAAATAATTGTTAGCCTTTTATAGATTATTTAACTACAATAAAATATTTAATGTTAAAACGGTTGATTTTTATCATCTTTATTCTTGTGATCTCTATTTGAGAGGGAAATCGTATTTTAAAATCTATAATCTCCATTGAATAGGGTTTTTCAAAAAAGGATGGTCTAACTGAAGTGAGTGCAAAGTGAAGTATACAGCGATCCTAATTGAAGAGATTCCTGGAAACTGCCCCATATTAGGAGTATGCCCATTTGCAGAGGCAAGGTGATAATAAAGGCAAACTTTCAGTAATTTCGTAAACTTGGAAATATTTCGTGTTCCTTTTACTAAAATTCTGTCTGAAGAAACCCAGTCTGAAGAGGACTTTGGGCTTTTTGGATTTTATTCAAATTGCTAGAAAACGGGATAAAACACTTAAATGCACAGAAATGGAAGAAAGAAAAATATTTATTTGGCAACAAATATATTCATATATACAGGAACATTTAACAACAGTAACTTTTAAAAGTAAAAACATGAACAGCATTTCTATGGCATAGAAATAAAGAGTTATATATAGGTAGCAAAGAAAATTAAAAGTCGCTACCTACTCAATTTACCAATGACAACACATTTTTGCAATTATAATTTGTTTTGAATTGTTAATTGAGACCCAGTACCTATCTAACTATAATACATTATGGTGAAAATGTTATTTACTGCTAAATAAAAGTGTTGGACACTTAATTTCGAATGACTAACTACATGAAAGATAATGGGTATTGGACTACACATAATACACAGTACACATTATAACATAAATGAAAGGGATTGATACAAGGCTTAATTCATTAATTTTATAGAATATACGGGGGAAAAAAATATTTGTTACTAAATTATTTAAAGATGAATGAATGAACAGTTCAACTACTTATACTGACTGTACTGGTTGCAACCACCTGCAGTTGTGCTCTTGGGATCAAACTGTGTGAGCTATTTCACTACATGATGTACTGATGTTTTTAGTACCTAGTCTATACAATTTATATATTAGAATTCATCTGTGAAAAAAAGAACTGAAGAAAATGCACTGTGAAAGAACTATGAGTTTTTACTTGTTTATGCAGACATGTAAAATCTTATATAACGGTCCAATATTTGCTATAAAATGTCGCATATGCATTTACTGGGATGAGAAAACTTACATTGTTAAAACTGAATAGGAAAAGAGCACATGTCAGAATAAACGACCCATGATAGCATTTGACTTCTAAAATGCCATGCAATGGATTATCAAATATTTCTGCAAGCAGAATGTGTTAGAATTTTTTTTTTAAAAGTGAAACAGTGAAACAACAAATATTGTTGGGGGAAGTTAGTCAAAGGTTAAAACTTCTAAGTTCACTGTACATGTGCAAACAAATTGCACTTGTTTAAAATCAATAACGGAAAAGGCATATTCCTGTTTACCAAATATCTTAAATATATCTGACATCAAGTCTATTCCAGAGAATTAATTACATCAAATACTTGTCCCTGTAGCTCCCAGGACAAATAACAATTATTATATTAAAAATAAGATGTTTTCAGGAGTTCAATCATTGTAACATGGTTAAAACATGCTTATACACTTAACACATTAAAACTTTTACTCGATGAAAAAATTGAATTACAAGGCAACTTCCTTGGCTTTAATCCATCTGGGTCCTCCAAACCAGGCTTTTATGTTTATAATTAATATTACCAAGAGTGACTAAGAGGCATTACTTAACTATTATTGCTGAGTTATTATGATTCTGGCATTACAGTGAAAAGTCAACCACTAATATTTGTGGATATAACCCGATACTCTTTGTGTATTGCCCCAAGAAAAATCTATAGACTAAATGCATGTATTTATGATTCATTCATCATCAGTTTCTCATTTCATGCCAGGGGTCATAGCTATCTTTGTAAGAACCATTCCATATATTTTTCATAATTTTCCTGAGTAATGAGATATATAACAATACCAGACACCCCTCTGCAACAAATTACAGACTTTGCTGAATCATCAATTGTGAGCAAAGTATCTGAACAGTAAAATTTGAGCAAAGTCCTACAATCTGCACATAAGCTAGTTATGACAGGATGACTATAAAGCCTATGCATCAAAGAGAACATGTGTCTTTGCTTTGCTTGCCTTGAATGTTCTTTCACTGAGAACGACAGTTTCTCCTGTCTTGACATTGGTTCTCAGATGTGTGATCACGTGAGTGCCACCATCATTAGGACTGGAGTCTACTTTCACTGTGGTCATATAATCAGCTTCTGTTTCAGGTTCCTCTTCTGGATTCTAAATTGATTAAGTATTATTATAATTATAGTAATAATAACATGTACAGTAATAACAAATAAAATATATAATTAACAGCAATTTGAGAAATTAACAAAATATCCATTTTAAATTCATTTCAAATTATTGAAATCACAATGAAATATTGATTCACTTCAATTGCATGGTTTTGTTTTGTTTTGCTTTTTTCATATATGATGTGTTAATTGAATTTTAAAAAAATAACAATTTATAATTCAAAATAATAATATGAAAGAAATGTTTATCAAAAGTAATACCTTTGGAGCCACAATTCTCATATCCCTTGTCATTGTGACTACTTTTTCCATTCTTTCTGTTGATCTTGCTTCTGGAAAGCAAAAAAAAAAAAAAAAACTTCATTTCAATAGCAAAAGACTAATTTCCCTATGCATAAATAAGAATACCAGCACACGTGAAAGACATATACATTTCCTTAGAAAAAAATGAAAGAAAAGACTGTTCATTTTATATATTACCTCCATGCCCTTTATCCGGAGAGACTTTTGGATATGTTTGAGCATCTCTACTTGCAGCATAGGAGTTTGACGGTATCTTTCCACTTGTAGTTGGCATTTTTTGTAAGCCTATATTATAGGGTTTACGTGGTTGGAAACTTGAAGTTCGTGCCCCCTGCAGATCACCTTGCAAACCCCACTGTGTGTCTTCAGCAGCATTTGAATTGAGGTCATCATCAAAATAATATTCATGTGGCTGAAAAAAACGAAACAAAACAAATCAGCTTTTAACAGGACTACTGAAGAAAAAATGTGTTAAATTTAAAAACTTCATTTTATTTCATGTACAACGTACAGTGTACACTGTCTTTCATGTGAGAACTGGAAACACTGCAGTTGCATATTATACTTTCATGATACCAATAATATCATATATCCCATAGTTGTGTTAGACTCAAAAATGTCAATAACTTCTCAGAATCTTAGGGTCACTCTTTACTTTTACAAAGACAAAACAAAATCTATGACAAATAACAAACCTCATTATTATCAAAAGACCTCAATTCACTGTCAGTGTCTGTTCCTGAATAGTCTCCATTCACTACTGTGGGTCCTGTTCTTGACGGTATGAAGAGGATATCATCACCATTCCCAGATACATATACTCTTTTATCTACAAGATAAAGAAAGACATTTGAAACATTATTTCTTTTTAACCACAGAGCATTTAAAAGTGTGGCAATGAGAATAAAGCAAACTCCAATTCTTAATATACCAATTGCCTGAATTATATTTAAAAAATTTTTAACTTACATATGAAGTCAAATCTTTTCCACTAAACCTGACCAAATGCCATCATATAATTTCAAATAGCATAAAAGATATACTAAAGGGTACCATCTGTCTCATACTTCCCAAAAACAATATTTGAACAGATATTTTCTGCTTTCTTTCTGTGCTATAAAATACCCTTGGTTCTTTTGGCCAACCTTCATTGATGCTATTTTGCCTGCAGTAGTTACGCATCATACATTACTACGTTATTTGGCAGACTTTAATAAAGTGGCGGACAGATAAGTCAAGTTTAAAACCAGAAATATAAAAAAGTGCAGTTTTGAAGCTATTTTTTTGGCTGACAGAGTGATTAGTTTGGTTTGTCTTTCGGCATGTGGACTGTGTTTTAGACCCCATTCCCAGAGATTAGATCAATCCAAACTAGATCGAACTAACTCCCTGGGGGTTCACGCTAAATAGCTGTCAGCCGAGCGGGCACGAAAGTTAATTACCCCCTTACAGCTTGTAGTAGGTGGGACGGACATTTAAGCCAGATTATCTGACAGTAATCCAGTGAGACTCCTCATGGGGATAGATCGATCTAAATGTCTGGGAATACGCCCTAAGTCATTTAGGAATCTAGTAGAAGCAGTTTACATGTGTGCTTGCATCATATATAAGTTTAAAGTCTGTTAATGATCAGGGGCTTTATACCATATGAGGCTAAAAGAATACCTTCAGTGTCAGTTTCGTCAGATACATCAGACTCATCTGCTTGAATAGTTGTATCATCATCTTTTTTCATTTCATTTTCCCCATCGCTGAAGTCATCAAAGCTTAAGAATGCATCTGTTTCAATGCTGTCAAAGCTTGCTCTCAGCTCATCCAACATTCTCTTTTTCAGCAGTGTCACAGTGTCATTATTTCCCTTGGCTTAGCACACAAAGAAACAGAGACAGAAAGAGAAAGTAGAAAATGTAATTGTAAAAGAACAGAACTGAAGAAACAGCCAGTTAAGTGAAGCGGAAGAGTAAACAGAGTCATGGAGAAGAATAAACACCAGTCTGCCAAATGCATTACGATGTACTTTCAAATAACTTACAATTGATGGGATCAGCAAATGCTGAGATATCATCCATTGGTTGGGATGCTCCATTTTCAAATGAATTTCTGTCATTTGGACCTCTTCCTCTCTCCACAAGACCAGATGAGACTGATGAAAATCTATTGCTAAATATACAATAATGTTAATAAAGTTAGATGAATTAAAAAATAAACTGATAAAAAACAATATCAATAAATAAATGATTAATTATCAAAACTTAGTTTTGAACATGCATTCTCTTTTTCTCATGCTGTTAGTTTCAACTGCAAAATACTTTCACAATTTTAAAAGCAGCTATCTATTAAGGCAATATACAGAAGGTCTTGTTTCCTTAACTTACCTTGGTAACTTTGTTTGAGGTTGATCAACAGTAACAGTTTTTACCTCTACAGTTTTTGGTTGATATTTGACAAAGGCTGATGTACTCTGAAGTGCCTTAAAAAATAATTTAGTATATATACCACAACAAAGTCAGTTTCATTTATCACATAATGAAATGGTTGACCATGTGATTATTGCCAGATATATAACAAAATAAACATCAAAATATATTGAAATCACTGAACCAAATACAGGAATCTAATAGCTCCACCA